AGCTGTTTGCCGTGAAGCAAACTGGGTCGGAGACGACTCAGGACTTTGCAGACCGGCTGGAGAAAACAGCACAAATGATATCGGCTTGCAAGTTCATGGCTGGTGAAACTACGGATAAGTTGATGAAGGACGCTTTTATAAACGGTCTTAAGTCCCAACAAATGATGTTTTGCCTGTTGCAGAAAAGCAAGCTCACATATGACACAGCTTTGCTGGAGAGCTCTAAACTAGAAAAAATCCTAGGAAAGATCAAAGCGAAAGTAACCAACTTAGATTCATTAAATGATGCAGCGGGACTCTTAACAATCGAGGAGAAGGAAACCCCTCATTTTCAGCCATTTCAAAATAAGTGCTGGGCTTGTCGTGAAGTAGGCCGGGTTAAGAAAGACTGGCCGGAACCGGACCATCGGAAGTGTCACAATTGTGGTATGCCTGGTCATCTGATAAAGGACTGCAGATTCCCAATAGAAGGTTGCACTTATTGTCAGGGCAACAACCACACGATAAAAAACTGTTTTAAGAAAGAGAGAGACGACAAGGAACAGGATCGTTATTACAACCAACCACGCTCCAACGAATTTGACGAAGAACCAGTTATTTGTAATCGGAGTCCATCAGAAGATACTGGACACACGTCTTGTGCTGTGTCAAGAAGTCAGGCCATCGATAGAGGAAAGCGTGTAAGATTTAACCAACCTCCGGAACCTGTTAGTACAGTTCTAGACGAAGTGGAAGAGCATGCCATGAATTACTCACCATACTTTGATGAAAGGCAGGTTTTTCTGACTGACGATGAAGAGTTTATTGAAGAAGAGGCCAGGTTGGAAAACTACTAAGCACCTCCAAGGAAAATCATGATGTGAAAACAGGTTCACACCGGTCAACCACAGCACGCGAAAGTATACGTGCAGGTTGTGTTGCCATTGAACCACAACGTGTACTCGCTAGTGGAAAGCGAAAGTACACATATTTTACTAGACGCTTGCCATATTATGGTATCTTGACCTTTGAAGCTATATACGTAAGTTGCCACGTCACCAAGCTGCCAATGTGCTCCAATGTAATTCTTGATATCACCATGTTACAAAACTTATGGCACAACTCCTTTACAAAACAACAGAACTTCCGCACAGTCTGGAACAACTAATTGCCCGTCACTGTCAGAGCTCCATGTGTGCTTGTGGTTAATAATTGGTTAACATCATTGCAACTTTGCTTTCGTTCTCCATATTCGATCTCATTAGTCGAGGAGAAAGAGCATATAATCTTATAATGGTAAATTGCCCGGATCCCGCAATACCCTAGATAGTTTGCATGAGTTTGGCCAAAACAGACAACAGGCTCACAGGAACATCCGGAGCATTGGCCGTTCCTGAAAGATTATTCATGGAATCACGACAGCAGATAATGCGTTAGTTCCAACTCTGTGAGAGCTGAGATAGTTGTGCCAGTTAGTGTTCATTTTATTGTGGACGTTACAATTTTTAAAAACGGGCCATGGAGCTCATCTGATATTCTAAAGCGGATCAGCAAATCAGTTAAAAGTAAAAGTCGGGCTAAGTCGGAGCCAGCTAGGAGTTCTGATCTGAGCAATCAAACTCCCCGAAAGTAATGGCAATTGGAGAAACAGACTGATATAAATCAGAGAATTTAGAACTAAGGGTACGTGTGCTAGGCTATCATTATGTGCTTAATGAATCTAGGGTAAAATCACACCTGATCAGGTCTAAAGAAGGAAAAATGGGTACTGCAGTATGCCGAATTAAATATTTCAGCTACATTAAGCTGGGCCGACCAGTAGATGCATCTACTAGATAATGTTTCGGACATGCGCAAAGCAGAGTTGGGTACAGCAACTACCCAGGAGCCGAAGTTGCCACATTATCACATCGCAATAACAAATGCGGGTCGGCGGTCGACCAATTTAATTTAAGACCCCACACATGAGCCTGATGAAGAGGCTGTTACGTTGATGATTCCAACGAAGATAGACCACATTGTCCTACGGGACCGTCTCAAGCATGATTATTATCATGGCAATGGATTGTTACACTGCCATGATTGATGAAACGAACAATCATTGAAAGATTTAACATTATTGAAGTAACCTGATCATAATGATAGCTGTGAAATCGCACACCGAAATTTGTGCAGATTGTACCAATATTGGATTTATAGTTCAATTGTCCAATCAAGTGGATGTCATTGCAAACTTATCATGTAGGTTCATGTAGGTTTCTGTGAGAAGTCATACCATAACCCAGTCAAAAGTACATATCATTGAAAAGAGAAGATACTGAAGTTTGTAGACAATACGAAGTTAATTCAGGAGCATAGGAAGATGAAACGTTCATCTTACAAATTATTAGAAGCATTCTCTTGGCTCCATGAAGGTCCATCACGATGCTATTGGAATATTAGAAGACAACCAGTTTCCCCATTAAATGAACAGAAGAAGAAGTTTATGTCAGTCAGAGCTCAGGTTCCAAATGCAAACGAGTTTAAACTGCACTCATTTGCTCAGTCATACATCATTCACGATCACACTGTAGTCATGGCATAACAATTTGGTACCTGTAGCAAATAAAGACCTTAGAGTCCGTGTACTTTGTACACATGCGAGCGACGTCGCGGTAAAACGTGACTATGTACTCTCCAAAAGATGACGACACAGACGGTATCAACTTCTCAAAAAGCTGGATTGTCACCTCACTCTCCTGTTGTCAGTTTTGCGGATTCACGACCCAAAGAACAACAGTCACCCCTCACGGTGTGACAATGACCAGGAAGATGAGGACTTTTACAAACAATAGCTCGTCCGACCATATGATGTAAGATGTCATTACAGTTATACAAACTAATTTGTTCATAGTATTCTAAGTTTAATGTAAATTAGTTAAAGTGATTTTAATAAGTATAATAATTTTAGTGCAATTTAGTTTATGTAAAATTAGCAGATTATTACATAAACGTAGGATATTATAGTATTATGTAAATAATTAAGTAAATATAGTGTAATCTAAATTCGTTTTTTAAGGTGTGTATATTTAAATTTTAGGGAAATTAAAATTTGTGTGAAAACAGATTATTATGTAAACGTAGGTTATTATTTTCGTAAATACCAAATAAAAATATATGTCTAAAGAAAACATCATTTAATGAGTTATAAAAAAAATATAGATTATGTGTAAGTGTGAAATGTATATGAAACATTATACTATATTATGAAAGTAATATACAATCATATAACAGAGTGTATTATAAATATTGTGATAAAAGGATTAAAGTTAAAAAAAATAAATGTGTATGTTATTTAAATGTTATGTGTATTTTTGAAACTAATTACTATAGATTGTAGAGTAAATTACTCCCACAATCAAATCAACAGCATCATTTTTAAATTTTAGTACGAGATTTTATTTTCAAAAGACCGAGAAAAATTGCATTATTTTATGTATTAGTTGTAATTCAAACTGGAAAAGATCAGTATTTTAAAAACGTATATTTAATCACAACAGTTTTCTAAAGGAGGGTGGAGTTTGTAGGGCCCCAACCCTACAATTATAGTCCCATCATATCAACTACTGTTATTGTTTGCACCTGCCTGGCAACCATAAATTAGACAGTCTGCGTCCATTAATCATTACGACCGGATATTACTATTGACCTAGAAGGCCACGGTCTAAATTAGTAATTTCGTTTGCAATTAATCGATGAGCATCACCGCAAGCTCTAGAGTTCTGACTTTACTCCATAATTATACGTTCGGTGGTTTTCGGTAGGGAGTTGTGGTTTGATAATTACTGCCAGAAGGACGTCACACTATGGTTTCATTAAATGAACTAAGATCATCTATGAGTAACCATGGATATCAAATAGTGATTCCTGAAGGGCTAGATCAGTGACTACACCATCTAGCTAAAACCACCACCGGAAATGCGTCACGTTTGTTTACACGAGAAAGCTCATCGGCCGACACGCCTAGGGAGTGCCGACAATTAAGGGGACTATAAAAACGCCCGGCGCCTTGAGAAAACTGTCTCTTTTTGTCGAATCGTTAAAGTTATATTTAAATAGTCAACCAACACCGCTAGTTTCGTTTTAACATTGTTTCCTAAATTTCCCGAGTTTCATTTCCGAGTCCAAACCAACTAAAAGTACACAACGCATTGAAGTCCTAATTTGAAAGCACTGACTACCGGAGCAAGTTTAACTCATTAATCTGGTAGTTACAACGTCTTGCGCCAAGTTTAAAAAAGAAAAATCCTCACTTAGATGAGCACATTATTGAAAAAGAAGTGCTATATTACTTTAACTCTAAATTTTGGCATAAAATGAGAACGAGAGTGTCCGCGAACCTTTACCGTAGACGTTATCTTCCGTAAACGCGTTTTCTATTCGAATCACGATTTTTCGCGGTTGCCGCGACATATCGCGATTGTCTCCACGAATATCTCAGCCCAAAAATTACGTTTTTCTATTCCCAGAAAACCTTACCGCCTGCTGGGCTTGCTAGAGGTGATAGATTTTCAACAGCACGTTTGGTGTCGCGCGTCACGTCAAGTTTACCTTTCGCTCGCTGCATTGAGCCTAGTAGTCATGACAACGACATTTTTTTGCAAAGTTTAAAAGCTGTGATCTTTTATTTAGCCCAAAATCAAACTTTTCGGTTTAATTCAGAATCTACGTCGTCCCAAATTTGGCTCCTGGGGAGCCAACTGTAAATTCACGAGACAGAAATTTTGTTGAAAACCGGAAGGTTCTATTTATTTTACTTTTGGAGATACACCCCAGCTGGTAGGGTTTGCTGGGTATCACCCGTTAAAACACTCGCAACGTAACATAACAATTAAAAGCACGTGTGGCGATGAATGATCATTCATTATCTGGGGCCGGGGCCCTTAACGTGTGAAACTCGTAAAAATAAAATTAAAAATATGAATATCTGTTCCATATATTAGGACCGTCGACGGTCCGACTCGGCGCGCGTCCTGGTAGGTTCAAGGTTGTAAACCTACAATTAGCAGCAGTTAGCAGCAGTTTCTTTGCACTATAGTCCTCCTTTTGCCTGTGTCCTGTGTTTAGTCTTTAAATGCTTTTTCATAAATTCCCTAGATGCTAGACCGATCCTTTTGATATGATTTGTTAACATATATCATTTATGGTCTAAATTGTAAATGGCATTTTCTAGAAAATTTGAAATTACTAGCTCAATTGTATATAAAATAGAGTTAAGTGTATTTGAAAACAAATAAAAGTCTTCCATTTTGTTTTGATCATAACATTAGTACTAATATTTGTAATTAGTATTAGTACTTTTTTTCTTTTTCTTTTTCCTCCTTGTCCTCCTAGCATTATCAAAACAAAAGACACCACACTTCAGATGTTCTTCAAAGTCGAAATCGTGGGCTGTCCTGACCTGAGATGTACAGTTTTTATCGAACGAAGGACACAAATCTTGTAATATTTGATACTATCGATAACACTTAAATTCCTCGATATGTGAAAAAACATGAAGTCCAGTTGTAAATGATTTTAAAGCGGTTTGATTTTATGTTATCATACAGTATACTCCACACACAGGAGGACTATAGTGCAAAGAAACTGCTGCTCACTGCTGCTCACTGCTGCTAACTGCTGCTCACTGCTGCTAACTGCTGCTATGGGTGAGCAGCAGTGAGCAGCAGTGAGCAGCAGTGAGCAGCAGTGAGCAGCAGTTTCTTTGCACTATAGTCCTCCTGTGCACAGTTTTCAGTTTGTAACAATACCTCGTCTTTGTTAACAGTTAGTGGGATATCCGTCGTTTTTGTCGGAAAACAATGACACCCCTTCTTGGGTCCAGCATATCTGGAGCATCTGAAATATGTCACTACTGTGAGCTTGTTTCTGTTTTTCAACTAGAAATATTCATTATATATAATATTTATATATTTCTTTAAAAATAACCATTGTCTGAAATCTAGGTAAACTATAGGTAAAAATATAATATTAATCATAAGCTAAAATGTACTAACCTTTGTATTCTAAATGGGGAAAAGAAGAAACATTGTCAGTCAGTCGAGAAAATTGTCAGTCAGGCTCCTCCCGAAAATAAATTACTACTGAATAAATGCCAATAGTGGCGAGGGAAGTGAAACATATTTGTTTCGACACGTGCCAGTGACTTTGGGTTTTAGTTAATCAATAATAAAGCAAGCTGATTGCTTAACTGTGTGACGTGTCAAAACAAATGATCATTCCACAAGTATCCACATCTATTAAATTATGTGTATTATTATAAGTATAACATAGATCACCTGTTAACGGTGTGTCGACGGCGGTTATAAAGCCCCAGTTGTCCGGACGCGATGGAAGAACGAGCACTTTCCGGGATCCACCTCGAAACCAAACTGCAATCCGAGCTTTCCTGATTGGAATAGTGTGTGAGTTTTTATCAAGATGCACATTTGAAGTTATTGACGATAATAACTCAGCAAAATAGTTCCAATCACGTCACACGTGCTATACTGCTAAGGTAGTAGTAAGAAGAATGTTGTGATAAACTGTTACAGTCGTTACCTTTTCTTCCTGCACAGCCAGATCTTGAATCTCATATCCCTGGTCAGGATACCTTAGCAAATGGTTCCCTGGCTGGTAATCCACATTCTGAGAAATCAATCTCAAGCACCGAAATGTAAAAAAAGAGACACGGCATGCAAAAGTATTTATTCGGATAGACCCTGCGGTTTTTAATTTTGTTTGATAACCCGAGTAATAGCGCAAATTCTCACTCAGTACGCAGAAAAATCTGTAATGAATATATAATAATACATAATAATATATAATAATACATAATAATATATAATAATTATATATAATCTTCTTTGTATGCATTGGAAACTAACCGGGTCGTTGAATCCGATGACGATAGGACACACATCTATTTGACTAAGCTGAGCGGACGTCCTACATTCCACTTTGATCTTAATCGTGGATCTTGATTCTGAAAAGATGCTTCAATGGTTTCTGTTTACTGGTTACCAGGTCAATATATTTTGGATGCAATGCTTGTGCAATGTGCATGCTGGCAGCTTGATTTGGGTACTGCCTAACTGATTTACTTTAATAATTAAACAAATATAACGTACATTATTAATTGACTGCTGTAAAAAAGGAAATTAAGTGTGAGCCACTAACCCGGGGGTATATGAGTGACGGTGCAGTTTTTAGGGGGGCACTGTGTCCACTGTGTATCCCAAGTGTAGCTTAACCTGCAACCACGTACCTTCATCCTATGGGACATTTAGTTTTGTATATGGTATTGAAACTTTGATATCATCTCCCGACTCCCAATCTTAACTTTTCAAATATTAATGCATCACTCAGCCGTCAATTTACGCAGTACGCACCTTTGATCCAAAACGAAATGGTTAAAGGTGGAGATGTGATTATCTTCAACCACTGCCACAGTAGAGACGTAGTGACGTCCTAAAAAAAATATCACTGTAAAGCATCAAGTTGATAAATTATAGACCTGATCATATTTGTCAAATACAATATTTTAATTAATTATGGATGGATAGCGAGGACCGGGGATTATGATTAAAACAGAAATATTCCAAATTTGAAAATGCATAGTTCATGTGAGCAAAATATTTTCTTGAGATTACAGATTAAACCAAAATACAATAGTCCCACAATTGCTTAAATTCTAAACTAAAACTCAACTGGGTTCTCCTGTGTCACCAAATAACACCAAGAAGTTTTTGAGGATGAAACTTTGCTCTTTGAAGTATTTTTAGATTGTTATATTGTTATATTTTTATATTTGTACATTGACCTACTGGAATGTGGTTGGTAGAGCTGGTGTCAAGCTCAGGTCGATCCAACGATAAGCATGTGTGACCTTCGGCACTTGAAACCTCCTCAAGCCTCCACTTATTTATTTATTATTATATTGTTAGATTTTGCCGTAAAAAACAAATAGTTGTTTTATTGAATAGTTGTTTATTGACGTCTGTTTCAGAGGAGTCCATGCCGTCTATATTCAAAATCAAACTGTTCAAAGTTAAAACTAAGTTAACAAAAATTATGATTAATGGCAAGGTACTTTTATTATTTTATTAGTATTTCAGATAACTTGAAAAATACAGTATATAACAAAACGTAATAACGAAGTTATAATAACGAAAACCGAAGAAGGTATTCTATTCACCCCATGGTTGGTCTGCGGTTTCATTACCACGACTACGCGGCTTTGATAAAAGGTAATTTATAAATTGTCCAGTTTACTCAAACCGGATTAGGAATTTAGAGCATTACAGCGAGAACGTATTTAATATTGCTTAGGTCTATACTAACATTTTAGGTCAACTCTTCAAGAAATGATATTTTTAAAAATTTAGAAACCATGAGCTTAGTTTGGACGGAGTGCTACTTCCAATTCAAGGACGGATGGTTCCAGCATGACGGAGGCTGGGCAAAGCCTACGGGACCCCAGTCGCCTGATGAGAAGAGGGGGTACTCGTCATCCGACCAGATTTATTAGTCAACAGATCATCCATGTTGACCCTGCTTCCAACAAGTCCAATCCAGTCAATTATTGCAAACAGTTTTTACGTTTTGGAACAAGGAACGTTCTATCTCTTGTCAGTTCATTTACACAGCTTTACCAACTTACTAACTTAGTCAAAACATTGATCAGTACAGATTGGATCTTTTGGGGATTACCGAGACTCACATGCCTGGATCTGGCGCCACTCTACTGGACAATGGCAGTCTACTCATCCATTCCAGTAGAGTCGACAGGATCAAGATACAGGGAGTCGGCCTCAGTCTTTCAAAACGAATCAGAAACTCCCTGATATCGTTCACTCCCACATCGGAGAGGGTTTTAACTGATAGGCTGCATAGTAAGCAAATCAACATTTCTGTTGTTGTGGCCTATGCTCTGCAACTGAGGGTGCAGAGGAGAGTGAGAAAGATAAGTTTTATAGGACACTCACAGACACATTTGATGGGCTACCACGTCACGATATCATGTTACTGCTCGGCGATTTTAATGCTAAAGTAACATCAGGCAGATATGGAAGTGAAGCGGTCATCGGTGGGGAATCACTCCATAGCTCATCAAATGACAACGGGACAAGACTTGTGGATTTCTGTGCGACGAAGACCAAGGATCTATTGATTCAGCGGGCACAGTTTAAGCGCAGAGACCCAAACTCGGACGCTAACAGGTGAGAGTATTATAAACTTAATAAGTTAGTCAAGAAAAGCAGCAAGCTAGACGACAATAACTGGGCAGTTAGAGTAGCTACTTATCTTGAGGAAGCAGCGAGCAAAGGTCAGCAGCGTGAGGTATGGGCAGATCAAGAAGATCTCTGGTAGGAACAAGACGCCTCAAGCATCTTATGTCCGGGACAAGGACGGTAGGAAGATCACGGATCCCCAACAGCAGAGGGATAGGTGGAAGGAGCACTTTACTGAACATCTGAATCCTCCATTATCAAGTGTCGACCTAGCCGACCTTGATACAGTACCACCCCAACCCCACTTTGACTCTCTATCTCTTGTTCGGATGGACCACCCACCAGAGACGAGATTAATTATTCCCTGACAAAGCTTAAGAACCACAAAAGACCAGGCGTGGACGGGATAACTACGAGCAACTGAAGTATGGTGCGAGTGCTCTAGTTGACTAACTAGAGTGTCTACTCAAGAAAGTGTGGGAAGAAGAGACTGTTCCTGAAGATTGGTTTAAGGGTGTGATCATTGTTATTGGGAAGAAAGGGGACAATTCAGTCTGCGGGAACAACAGAGGGATCACTTTAAGGTCTACAGCATCCAAGCTTTTTCAGATGATTCTCGGTTACATGCTGGTATGGAGTGTCTTCTCAGGGAGAATCAGTGCGGATTTAGACAGAACCGCTCATGTATTGATCAGATTTATTCTCCCCGAACTATTATTCATAACTGTCTTGAGTTTAACATTCCTCTTTACATTAATTTTGTCGATTAAGGCAGCGTTTGATTCTATCAGAAGGGACTTTATTTGGTGCAGTATGAGACACTATGGGCTGCCTGAAAAATATATCAGAATATTTCAGTCATTTTTTGAGGGGTACAATGAGTGCAGTGAGGGTTAATGGGGAGCTGACAGACTGGTTTGATGTTAACTCAGGCACAGGTCAGAGTGACATTCAAGCACCTCCTGTCTTTAATTTCTGCCTAAACTTTTCTGCATTTCTGGCTGAGACCAACAAGACCATCAGTCGAGGCGCAGTGCTGCAGATGGAGATGAAGAGGTCGAGGAAAAGGTCATTCTGGACACCGATTATGCTGATGACATGGCTATTATGGACAACTCAGGGGAAGGCCTACGGCCCTACAGGAGTCAACTGATCTATTAGTTCATTAAAGCTCCTACGCTGGGCTCAGAATAAATGCAAAGAAGACCCAACGCATGGCTGTAAGCAAGTGCGCCTCCCAGCGACCTTTCATTAAGGATGACTGTATTGAGCTGTCGGTTGAGGGTGAACCCGTTGAGCAGGTTAGCAACTTTGTCTACCTGGGTGCAACTATCAGTGGGGATGGGACAATCGACAGAGACCTGGGTGTCCGTATCCAGAAGGCTAATGGCCAGCTCTGGAACATTTGAAATAGCAGAACTATAAAGACTCCAATCAAGATCAGGATCTATAAGGCTGCTGTCCTCACCATCTTGTTGTATGGAGCTGAAGTCTGGAACACCACCAAAAAGCAGATGAAACGCCCTGAGGTTTTCCATCAGACCTCCTTAAGAAGGATCCTTAGGATTAAATGGTTCTTTCATGTGTCCAACGAAAAAGTTCTTAGGAGGGCTGGCATCAAGTCAGTCAGACTTTCATCAGTGCTGCCAGGCTACGTTGGTATGGACATGTAGTTAGAATGCCAGACTATAGACTACCGAGGTTTCTGTTGAACTGGAAGCCAAATCATGGAAAGAGGTCAAAGGGCAGACCCCGAAAGAATTGGAAGACCTGCGTACTCAAAGATGCTGCTAAGTTTACAGGTGTTGAAAACATCGACAACAACACAACAGACGCTTTGGCTACCAACCGAGTACAGTGGAGACATATGTTACGCCGCCAACACAATGTGTGTGATGCAGGCCACTCCAACGACTAGGAGGAGACCTTACCATGTAACATGTATGTACTATGTATGTATGAGCTTAGTTTCATATAATTATACGGAAATAACCGCCTTTAACCGCCTATAACCGCCAATAACCGCATATAACCACAAATAGCCTCTTATGTAAATTACTTTAAATTAACACAATCCAAAAGGGATCAATTTGGAATATCAGATACTTTTAACAAAACTTACGTTTGTTGTCCAATTAAAGATAATTATCGATTGCAAGCCAAAATCATGGAACATTATGTTGATCTACCAGGTGCCATGATTGACCCGTATTCTCGTAAATCTTACCACTTTCTTTAGTGCATGGCTCCGATGGCCAGAATGCTATCCCTTTAGTCCTCTGTACTGGGTTCCTTCTCAGAGCAGTCATCACCTCCCCATAGTGCTTCATTGAGCAACAGCAGGCTCCCTGAACAGTGAACAGTGAACACGTTGGTAATGTGTGGACAATTATATGTTTTGTACGAGTTACCATGGTTACCATTTTCAGTTGAAATGTTTAGCCAACTTTTAGCCAGGTTATTTTTGGTCATTTGATTTTCAGATGCATTTTAAATTTATGAAATGTGTAACTTGTTAACTTACCTTGATTTTCTGATCACATGACCAAGCAGGTACTATGAGCATCACCACCACGAAAATTATAGACATAATTAAATCTGGTTAAATTAACTAATTAATTTACTGATCGACCAATAAAAGAGCTAGGAACGTTTAGTTAATTGGGTGGAAGCATAATTCCGTCTATCTAAAATAGTGATTTAATATAATCGTAATATGGATCATATGGTTGTTATGAAATATAAAACGTTACAAGTTAAACAAAATAGATTTAGATCAGTGAAAATGGCGAACAAGGAACAAATGATAAGCACTGAAAAAAGTGTAAGCTTAGTTCGTCTGTTAAGACTTAATCAAAGATTAAAAGAAAATTCTTCCGTCAGCGTAAATAGATTAAGCGAAGCACACGTATTCATAATCATCGATTCAGATTTACAAGAAGAGAAAAAGGTACAAGAGCATACGACGCTCTGACTTCACAATCTTCATAGGTGTAACCATCTTACCATTGGAACTAAATTAACGGAACTAAAGTACAACACACACTTAACTTGACACTAATTGTGGATGGCATAGTTAATGCTATAATAGTAAAGCAGTAAAATGTTTCGGCATCCTTTGTTGATATATACCTACCCCCGACAGATTGGGGAAGTGATGGCTGATGCAGTTGCAAGTTAGTAATAATCCAAGCTGATAAATTACTCACAAAAAGGATGGTTCACAAAGTTTCATTTTGCTGCTTCCGAAACATTCAAAAAAAGAGTGGAAGTTAGTAAGAAGTGAGAAGTACAAAAAGGATGGTTCACATAAAGTTTCATTTTGCTGCTTCCGAAACATTCAAATAAAAAGTGGAAATTAGTAAGAAGTGAGAAGCACAAAAAGGATGGTTCACAAAGTTTCATTTTGCTGCTTCCGAAACATTCAAATAAAGAGTGGAAGTTAGTAAGAAGTGAGAAGCACAAAAAGGATTGTTCACAAAGTTAAATTTTACTACTTCCGAAACATCTTACTATATATAAAGCAAGACGATATATAAAGATATATACAAATTGAAACGCGAATCAAATAGGTAATAATTATTTTAGTCTCTTGAGTCTCGACACCACTTTATGGTTAGACGGGTTCCTGCAAGTTCAAATACAGAGTGGGAGTTAGTAAAAGTAAAATGTTAATGTTAACAACAGGATAGGGCTCCGATATTCTAAGAATAAGAACTAAGAAGCAACAACTACGGCACAGTTGGGACTTTGGTCTTGGACATTGGATAATAAACTTAAATGAGCCAAATATACTTACTTTGATACTGTAATGAGGTTTAGCCAGAATGTCAGGGCCATCGTACATCACGTACACCACCCGAATGATGAAAATATTTTACCATATTATACCAAAGAGCAAACCCCGACTACATTGCATGTTATTAGAAGGCGTCCCGCATTTCTCCACGAAGAGCAGAAACGGCAGCTGCAAGATTGAAAATAATATATCAAACTATCAAACTCTGACACGTACAAAACCAGCCGATCATCATTGCTCAATTAACAGCTGTTAGTTAACTTGAAGTAATAGTGAATTGACGAAATTGCCATCTGATTACGACAATGCGCGCATCTTGAGAAGTTGAGATATATCAGTAAAGCCTGGGGATTGGGGAAGTGATGGCTGCAGATGAAAGTTAGTAATAATCTAAGCTGATAGATTACTGACTTACTATAATTAGTGTCAAAACATTGATAATCCTTTAAAAATGTCCGTTCAATTTGGCTAATTTTATAATTACATTGCAATAGAAAACATTATTGGATATCGTTTGCAACTTTTTCTGAGTATTTTTACGCGATCAAACATGATAACATGGATGGAGATGAAGATATATACAAATTACCAAGGATTTGGCGTCACACCACAAAAACAATATCTTTCTAAGTTTTCTTTTACAATATTTAGGAATTTGGGAATTAATTATATTTGAATCGACAAATTTATCTCGAAATATCGTGACACTTTCATACACGAGAGAGAACATAATGGTTGTGCTGAGTGGGTCAATGAAGCTGGAGTAATAATATGTTCCCGTAAACTTGTGCAGTCGTGGACCTTATCTTGCAGTTTTGTGATTTCTTCCATCTGTAATAAACTATTTTATGTTATTGTAAAAGGTTGAGGGAAAGCCACGAAGTTACAACACTGATCAATATGCATGGGAAAACGTTGTATGCGCCTAAGATGAGAAGTACGTACCGTTTCCGGCTTAAAGTACGTAATACGGTACAAGGTTTTTTATCAGTACGTACCGTACAACCACTTTAAAGTACGACATTTTTCTGAAAAAAACGGTGTCCGCTTTTTACCTTATTTGTATAACTATATTGTTGTAAAATTGGCAGGTATGTATGCAATTTTCGAACCACGATTTTGGTGCCAGTGAATGCTAAAGTCGAATTAAACAATTTTCAAGTCAATAAATAAATTTTAATAACTGCAATTATACTCAATAGGAGTACGTACACTGTACAGTCATACAGTCTAATGATGGAAATAAGAATGCGGCGACATAATAAGTTTAGGTGCCCGTAGCGCCATTTCAAGTGTTCCTGTTAGTGTTATTATTTTGTCAGTGATGTAGTGCATTCCTTGAGCCGTGGGAACCATTAAGATGTAGTGTCAGTGACATAAATATGGTGCACGTGTCTTGTAATAGTTAAAGTTTAATAGTTTAGGCCTCAAAAATTTGAGCAGTGTGAGAATTTCAATTTTTGTTTTTTTGTGTTCGTATAGTTTGTGGTGTGTTTAATATAACGTCAGTTTAAGATACTACACTAAGTTTCATGTCATCGGCACACGAGCTGCATGAGCAGCCCTACCGGACACAAAAATAAAATATATATCCACCAGCGTGCGCTTTTTCGCATAGCGGGCTCTCACCAGCCCGCTGTCAAAGGGCCCGATATCTCTACAGCCCGCTCATGATATAGCCCGCTAACAAGTGACATTTAATTTGACCAGTAGCAATATAGCCCGGAGTTCTCTAAAATATTTTCAGTTTCTGTATCGTCTCCATGTGAAATTCCTTATTACACTGACTATATTATATACATTTTATTTTTGTGTCCGGTAGGGCTGCTCATGCAGCTCGTGAGCAGACGACATGATACTTTGATATATATCAAAGTTATTATAACACACTACATGATAATACACATCAGCACTATAATCCCCCTATATTATTGATATTCATCGTCACTGACATAATACATTCATTATTCCCACGGCCCAGGAATGCAGTGCATCTCCAGCCCCTATATACGACACAGCCCTTTATGATTGGCTTACATTGAACACGTGACGTGTTACCATGGTTACTAAAATTAGTGGCGACCTTTTTCTATAGTTGACTTTTATACAAGCTCCATTGTTTATTTATAAAATTATATATTAACTGTAATACGCCCGCTGGTGGATATAATCCACATCACCTCGACCCGCGGGCGGAAAAATCGTATAGCACTCGGGCCCGATGGGCCCTCCGTGCTATACGAAAATATGTCCTCCTCGGGCTAGCGCCCTCGGGGACATATGAAATATTGCACGCGCGTGCGCGTGCAATATTTTGTTCCGCCCACGAGTCTCCGGTGATATGTATATATATCCACCAGCGTGCGCTTTTTCGCATAGCGGGCTCTCACCAGCCCGCTGTCAAAGGGCCCGATATCTCTACAGCCCGCTCATGATATAGCCCGCTAACAAGTGACATTTAATTTGACCAGTAGCAATATAGCCCGGAGTTCTCTAAAATATTTTCAGTTTCTGTATCGTCTCCATGTGAAATTCCTTATTACACTGACTATATTATATACATTTTATTTTTGTGTCCGGTAGGGCTGCTCATGCAGCTCGTGAGCAGATGACATGATACTTTGATATATATCAAAGTTATTATAACACACTACATGATAATACACATCAGCACTATAATCCCCCTATATTATTGATATTCATCGTCACTGACATAATACATTCATTATTCCCACGGCCCAGGAATGCAGTGCATCTCCAGCCCCTATATACGACACAGCCCTTTATGATTGGCTTACATTGAACACGTGACGTGTTACCATGGTTACTACAATTAGTGGCGACCTTTTTCTATAGTTGACTTTTATACAAGCTCCATTGTTTATTTATAAAATTATATATTAACTGTAATACGCCCGCTGGTGGATATAATCCACATCACCTCGACCCGCGGGCGGAAAAATCGTATAGCACTCGGGCCCGATGGGCCCTCCGTGCTATACGAAAATATGTCCTCCTCGGGCTAGCGCCCTCGGGGACATATGAAATATTGCACGCGCGTGCGCGTGCAATATTTTGTTCCGCCCGCGAGTCTCCGGTGATATGTATATATATATCTCCGGGCTATATTATTATATCGCCCGATGGTATAGCGGGCTCCCGCTATATCAGCGGGCTGTTACAGCGGACCGGGATATATCATGTCTTCTAACTAGCGGGCTGCGCGGGCCTGCTGGCGCAAATATAGCCTGCTGGTGGATATACTATGTAGACAGAGTAAAACAAAATGGCCACTAGCTACACCTCGTGCTAAGTTGATTAACTGAAGCTCACCATCTGCTCAAATGACGTCAGATGAATTTCGAATGGATGAATAAAACAACGAAAATTTAGTCAACTGTAACAGGGGAACACCAGTTGCAAATAGGACCACTGTAACAACGCTCACAAAGTTGATACAAATAAGTTTACTGAATTTCTGACTTTGAGTTCATTGATCATCAGGTCCTTTTCCGACAAATATTGTTTTTTGTCCTCGATTGAGCTGCATTTCGTGATTTGAGTATTGACGTTGTTTATCGTCTGGGTGGAAGCCTATATTATTTGTATCCTTAATTGTGCTACTACTAAGCATACAAAACGTGGCTGAAGCTGGAATCCGAGGAAAAGAATAAAGTTGTAAATGTTAAGATGATACCGTCAGTCAAAATAATAGTAAAAACTGAATCATATTCAAATATCATTATCATATCAAGTTGGCCTTTAAAGGTTTAAAGGATAAATTTGAGCATTTCGTCCCCAAAATCCAAATGTAAATAAAAA